GACACTATCTCATTTCAGATAGGCTTCAGAAGATCTCACAGGGGAGGAGACTTGTTTCAACAGGCCACAAGTGAATGCAATGTCTTTGGTATCGCTAAGACAACAGAGGGTCTCCCTTTAAGGCACTCTGGAATTTGGGGGCGCCTGGGCGGCTCAACTGGTGGAGCGTCTGCCTTCAGCTCGGTCCTCAGCCCTGGGATCACCAGTCCTGGTCAGCAAGGAGGTTGCTGCTCCCTCTCCTCTCAGCCTTTGCTTCTCCTCCCTCCCTCCACTCATACTCTCTCTCCCTCTCAAATAAATCAATCAGATCTTTAAAAATAAATAAATAAAAGCTCCGGAACTTGGCAAGAACACGGAGCAACAACGAAAAGCAAGGGATTTGTGGGAAGGTTGCTGATAATCGAAATCTCGTGAAATCAATCCGGAAAGAGGACAAGTGGGATTTTTTAGAGCTAGAGGGAGAAAAGGCTTACATCTGGATTTCTGCCTACCCTCTGGCACACACATCTAAAGGCTTTGCTCTGTAGACCGTATTGTTGGGTCTCTTTTCTGCACAGCGAATGCGATCTGGGCCATGGTGAGGAGCCTGGACACCCAAGTTTGGTAGAGGGACCTGGCTCTGCTCTGCCATTCCCAGCTGTGTGACCCCGGGAAATGACCTCCCAACCCATCGGTTGCTCCATTTGATAATGGTACTAGGAAGAGTGCCCAGCACATGGGACTAAATGAGACCCATCTAAAAGGCGCTTTGTAAGAGCCTAACACAGAACGTGGTCAAGAATCAGTGGCTGGTGTGGTTGCCTAAAACCACGTTATTATTTGTAGTTGTGTAAGGAAATGTGTATTAGAAGGAGGTAAGGAAATGTGTTTTATAAGGTGTTAGAAAGGGAAAGACAAAAATATAACACTCTGAAATTTCAAACTTTAAGGGATTCGAGAAATAGAGAGCAGAGAAAGTATATTAAGTTTTGTGCCATGTGAAGTTTTGTGCTTCTCTGCATTAAAAAAAAAACAACACTGATTTTTCAAAAATCAGATTTTGTGTAAGGGAAGAGCACTTCTTTAATCAAAGGAATAGAGGACGAAAAAGAACACCAGAAAAAGAAATCATTTCCTTCTTTGTGAAACAAGCATAAGGCATGCTAGGCAAATAGCGTCCTAGGGGAGGAGCTGACCCGAGAAACATCTCTGGAGAAGGACAGGGCATTTCCCGGAGGAGGAAAGGGAGAAGCAGGAGCATTCATCAGAGACTTTATACACAAAAAAAGAGAGGCAGAGAAGGGGATTCTTTAAAGAAACACATCTACAGAGGTACTAGCTTAGACACCAAGGACCTCCAGGTGATGGTATGAACTTAAAAAAATAGAGCTGAGCCCTGAAAGCAAGATTTAGAGATTACTGGTTTGAACACTGTAGGATCTAAAAGCAAGAGAGTAAAGGTGATTACTAGAGTATCAAAAATTCTCAATAAAATCCACTGGGGACAGTTTATGGGGAAGCCTATGGAACTAAGTCGAATTTCAGCATACCAATGAGGTGGTGACAGGTAGATATACACGAAATCCCACATGCCACTGTTTATTCCATTACCTTCTACCCCTTCCCAGAAAATACTAGGAAGGGAGAAACCTTCCTCATCTCCTTCCCTCCTGGAAAAGCTTATGTTAGAATCACTTTCCAAATCTCAAGGCTATACTGGATTACAAGGAAGCACAACAAAGAAACAAAGTCAAGCTTAAAAATAAAAACATAAGACTATCTTGATTTTAGCTTAGGTGGTTCACAAAAGCAAAGACAAAGAATGCTTAGCCTTTCCCAAGGCAAAGGACAAGAACAGGAAAGAATATCGCACACCAGGGGCAGTCTTGAAGTACAGAATTTTAGACTGTGAAGATATAAGCACATGTTTAAAACCAAATTATTTCCGAGATGAAACTGCACAAAGAGAAATGTTGCATTGGATAATAACTATAATTACTACTTTTTAAAAAAGGGTCTATCGGGGCTCCTGGCTGGCTCAGTCTGTAGGGCATGTGACTCTTGATCTTGGGGTCATGAGTTTGAGCCCCACAGTGGGTGTAGAGATTATTTTAAAACATAAAATATTGGGGCGCCTGGGTGGCTCCCCAGGTGGCTACCGCGGTAGAAAATAATTCTTAACACAGGGGAAGGGTTTGCCCATTTTCACTACCGAGTTTCTCGATCACATTTAGAAAAACGAGGGGGATGGGGCGCCTGGGAGGCTCAGTGGATTAAGCTGCTGCTTTCGGCTCAGGTCATGATCTCAGGGTCCTGGGATGGAGCCCCGCATCTGCCTCAGCATCCCTGCTGAGCAGAAAGTCTGCTTCCCCCCTCTCTCTGTCTGCCTCTCTGCCTACTTGTGATCTCTCTCTCTGTCAAATAAATAAATAAAATCTTAAAACAAAAAACAAAAAACAAGGGGGCACATAGGAACATGTTCTGGACTCACTCTCCGAAGTTAATGATTAAGTTGTGAATAAAAGTAGCGCTAGAACAGAGGAGGGCAGGTAAAAGGGACAAGGCTTCAGCCCGCAGTTAGGGATAGAGACACGGAGCATGAGTCACCCCGCAGCATTTATCTGTCAGCCCAAGGAGAAAAGAACCAGCCTGGCCTGATGGGTACCATAAAAGGCGAGGCAGAAGGAGGGAGAGGATGCATGAAAGATACCCTTTTAAGAGGAACACAGATCCCATGAGAGCTGCCAGAGACATTTTCCCGGTCTTCTACCACCGAGATCTGGTAAAAGAAAAGGCCCTTGTGCTTGTGAACATAAGCAGAAATGTACAAAAACAAAGCCTTGTAAATTTCTAAAGCAGCTCTGTGTAGGCAAAATACTCATAATTTAATGAGGAAACAAAGCAGAGTGATCAGATGAAAACCATGCAGTTGAAACATGCAAATACCAGGGAGTATGTCACTGTGAAGAACCAGCACTGAAAGAAGTGGTGAAGTTTAACACAACTCAGCTGAACACAAAGTAACTTTGCAGGACAGCTGGAAACATTTACATTCTTGTTGGGTACTCAGCACAGATGTGTACGAGGCGCGCCATCTGCTGGCAAGATTTGGTACTGCTATTTGGAAAGACGTCTTAGAGGAGGTGGGGGTATTCTGGCTGAGGATAGTTTAACCCTTTTTTTCTGGACATTAAGTTTTCGTATCGTTAGTTAGGTTTCAACAGATGCAACAGATATCAGATCTTGGACCTCCGATTTGCTTATTTTCTGTCTTACAACACAAAATAGAATACCTACTTCTGGGTGGGAAGAAATTCTGGATGGCAGGCCCTCCCAGTGTTTGCTCTCTTCCTCCTCTCATTACATAAATGGAACCACACAGTATGAATTCTTTCGTCTGGCTACTTGCATGACACATTTTGTGTGAGAGTCATCCATGATGGGAAGCAGAGGAGCAGTGTGATCATTTCCTTAGTATGAACAGATCACAATTTTATCTATTCTGCTTTTGATGAACAGTTGGGTTGTTTCTGATTCTCGGCTATTACAAATAACGTAGCTTTGGACATTCTTGGCTGTCTTTCGGTGAACATATGTGTGCATTTCTGTTCTATTTATGGGAAACTGCTATGTCATAGAGTAGATGAACATTCAGATTTTGAAGATAAAGCCAGTTTTCCAAAGCAGTTATACCAAATATATTCTAAATGACAACATATGAGAAAGTATTTGAGACCCTGACATCCTTACCAACACTTGATATTATCAGTCATTCAAAAAACTTTAGCCAACCTTATGACCCAGCAATTGCACTTCTAGGTGTTTACCCCAAATATACAGACAGTGAAAATAAGGGGCACATGCACCCTGGTGTTTATAGCAGCAATGGCCACAACAGCCAAACTGCGGAAGGAGCTGAGATGCCCTTCAACAGATGAATGGATAAAGATGTGGTCCATGTATACAATGGAATATTACTCAGCCATCAGAAAGGATGAATACCCACCATTTGCATCAACATGGATGGAACTGGAAAAGATTATGTTAAGTGAAATAAGTCAAGCAGAGAAAGACAATTATATGGTTTCACTCCTTTGTGGAACATAAGGAATAGCGTGGAGGACCACAGGGCAAAGGAGGGAAAACTAGATGGGAAGAAATCAGAGACGGAGACAAACCATGAGAGACTCTTGACTTTGGGAACCAGATGGAGGGTTACAGAGTTACAGAGGGGAGGGGGGCTGGGGGATAGGGTGACAGGATAATGGGTATTCAGGAAGGCAATTGTGGCGATGAGCACTGAGTGTTACATGCAACTAATGAATCATTGAACACTACACCAAAAACTAATGATGTATTATATGTTGGCTAACTGAACATAATAAAAACAAAGATTAAAAAAATTTAGCCATTCTAGTGGAGCTGTAGTAGTTAGCTCATGACTTTTATTTTCACTTCCCTGATGACTGATGAGGTAGAACATTTAGCATGCTTATTAGCTATGTGGGCATCCTTTTTCTGTGAAGTCTCTTGCTCACTTTTCTGTGTAGTCGCTTGTCTCTGTTTTATTGATATACAGCAGTTCTTTATAGATTCTAGATACGAGCTCTCTCCTAGTTATGCATATTATAAATATCTTCTTCATCTCTGTGGTATGAAATACATGGTGATTTAAACACTGAGGAAGGGGTGCTTGGGTGGCTCAGTTGGTTAAGTGTCTGCCTTCAGCTCAGGTCATGATCTCAGGGTCCTGGGAGGAGCCAGCTCCTCCCCTTTCCTTCTGTGCTCTCTCTCACACCAATAAATAAATAAAATCTCATAAAAAATAAAGTGTCATTGACGTACGTGCCTTGGTTGTGGCTGCTGTGACATGACCATGGTCCTCTTTTGCTTCTAGACAACAGCCACAGGGAAGCCACGGACACAGCATCGTGGAAAAGCTCCTTCTGCCTGAAGAAGATTCTTCTGGCAGAGAACCCCTGGTCATCGTGTATTCAAAATGACCTAAACTGGAAACTTACTGTGCAGATGACAATTTGATCCGTGCTTGGATTTCTATCCATTCCTCCTTTATAATCCTTTCACACTGCAGCAGCTCCTTTGCAAGTCGCTCTGCCTTCGACAAATTCTCCGAAGCTTCCTTAAATCTGGGCTATGTTCAGGAAACTTCACACGTGGTTCTAGATTCTGGGCCCCCAGTTCCTGGACATCCTTGGCTCTTAAACTTCCCATCACCCTTCCTGAACCACCAGTCACTTTTTGATTTGGCCTTGAGAATAAAGGGGCGCCTGGGGGAAGCTCAGTGGGTTAAGCATCTGCCTTTGGCTCGGGTCATGATCTCAGGGTCCTGGGATCGAGCCCTGCTTCAGGTTCTCTACTCAGCGGGGAGTCTGCTTCCCCCTCTGTGCCCTGTTCATGCTCTCTCTCTCTCTTGCTCTTTCTCTCTATCTCAAAGAAATAAATAAAATCCTAAAGAAAAAAAAGAGAAAGAAAAAAGAAAGAAAATTAAATATAATCACTACAGCGGGCATTTCTAGGTGGAAATATTAGAAACAAAAGGATACTTTTGAAGGGAGAGTAAGGCTCTCCCCATGGTATGGAACAGCTCAATTGAACACTTAAAAACATCTGTGTTGTCGTCATAGGGAGGCGCAATGGAGTTGGTAAGGATTTCTTTGGCTTTTTCCGCATGTTGCCTTGCTTGCAGCGACAGTCCTGCGGGCAAAGAAAAAGAGGTCTCAGGTTCTCTCTCACGTCAGTGGGACGGGACTAGAATTATCTCTGGCTGGGAAATTGAATGAGGTCTCCCTCAAGCATTGGCAAGAGACACACAGAAATGGGTCAGGACAGCGTGAAATACTGTCCCGACTGTAAAAACCAAATGAGTGGTTTCCACCGAGTACATAAGACAACTTTCTCCCCAAATGGCCTTTCTAGAAGTAAACAGAGTGAGCGGGAACTGAACAACTTTGAAACCTCACCAATATCAGCGATACAATAGGTTCTAAATAATTATAAGAAAACAAATGGAATGCCAGGACTATAGCATTCTGGGCAGGAAATTAGATATTCATGAATTTTTAAATCCTGGCTTTGTGACAGCGGTCTTAATGAAATACTAAAAATTCTGAATCTTCTGCTTGTCCACCTCTAATCATAACTTCAGAGATGTATTTTAACGTAATACAAATACAGTGACAATCTACAAAAACTTACAAATATGATTCCAATGACCGAATGAGCTAATGTGCTACAATCTCTTATTTGTACAACGTTATTGACTAACATGAAACAAAATGGAACAAAGAGAAAAATAATCACTACCAAGCACTAATTCCCCAGTGCACGCCAGAGTTCTTCCATGGGCTTATTAACTTGTGGTAAGGGTGACACTGGGGGTCACGGGTTAGGTTTCAGGGCTTTTCGCCTCCCCACACCCCTATCCTCCTCCCCCCACACCAGCATCCTCTCTTCCGCCCGCATCCATACACCTTTGGTCTTATATTTTTCCATCGTATGAAATTATATCTCAAATCTCTAAAAAAGAAAGCTGCCAAAAATATGAAATTAATTCTGTTCCTGCGTCTATAAAACAGAAGAGTATATTTTCTGATGGAGAAAATCCAGGGTAGGTTCTCCATGTGGGAATGCGTAGAGAATTTTGTCTAATTTTTTTCTGTTTGTTTGTTTTAATGTTTAGTTTAAATTCAATTTAATTAACATATACTGTATTATTAGTTGCAGAGGTAGAATTTAGTGATTCATCAGTTGCATACAACACCCAGCGCTCATTACTTCAGAGAATTTCGTCTAATTTTTTTAAAGCACACATGTAATCAACCTACGCGAAATTTACTAGTGCCAATTACGCATGCGATATGACAAAAATAATGGTGTACCGTATTACCAACTTCGGTACATTCCCTTAAGGAACTCAGTCTACCCGAGGCCGTGTGGGTTGAGGTTTAAGAACACTGGCTTCTGATATCCAAGTGCCCAGAATGAGTTCCCTGAACCACCACTTATTCTGAAGCCTCAGCTTCCACAACTGTAAATAGCGATGATAATATTATGCCCCGTATAGGACTGTGATGAACAATGAATGAGAACATGTGTGGGAGATGGTTAGCATGGCCTCTGGCTTTCAATAAGACCTTCATGAAGAGTAGAGGCTGCTTTGACTCTAAATTGAAAAAGAAAGACTATCATGCAAAAAGGTAGCGGGCTGTGGAAGAAAAGCATCATTTGAAATCCCAGATGCCAGGCCACTAGCACTGGCGTGCAAAATCTGAGGTCTGAGTCTTGGATCATCCACTTACTAACAATGTAAATTGTGGTAAGCTGTTTCAGCTCCCGTTCCCTCTGAGTCTAAAATTATAGGAAGGGGTTAGCGTTTGTTGGTTTTTTTTTTCTTTTAAAATATTTTTATTTATTTATTTATTTGTCTGAGAGAGAGAGAGAGAGAGAGAGATCGAGCACAAGCAGGCAGAGAGCATAAGCAGAGGGAGAAGCAGGCTCCCTATTGAGCAAGGAGCCCGATGTGGGACTCGATCCCATGACCCTGGGATCATGACCTGAGCCGAAGGCAGCGGCTTAACCAACTGAGCCACCCAGGCCTCCCAGGGGTTAGGGTTTGAACTAGACGATCTCCAGGGTCCCCTCTGGCTCCAACAGTCTTTGATCTAATAGGTGGGACCAGTCAATAATCAGATTTAGCCAAATGTATTGGGTGGTAATTCTGTGCTGAGCATTGCGGTGTTTTCCATTTCTTGTTATTTTATGTATTCACTGGTCCACCGTGGCAAGTTAAAGTGCCACCATCATCATTATCACTGTTTTTCAGTTGAAGAAAGGAGTATGGAGACGTACTCTTTACACCTCGTCCTAGGACGCCCAGGGAGAATGGAGAGGACATGCTATCCTGTTGTTTTTGCCCTCTCTGCCTCCATCCCTCTTCCTGTTTTCTTTTGGGGACACCTGGGTCCCTGCACACTCAGTTCAAGCAACTTGACCAAGGCCAGCCTGTCCCCCAGGATCCAGTGGAGCCGAAAGGCAGATCTAGATCTAGCCCATCAAACTACTCCTCGCCCTTGACATACCATCCAAGTCAGCCCAATTAGAGCCCCCAAACCCTGAGATTTGGGTGGAAAGATGTTCTTTCTGTCCTGGGAACGCTGATGAGGGAAATTTAAAGCTTCGCAAGCCTTGCTGCTGTCATGTGGGCAGAGCCTGGCTAAGCTTGAAGTTCACACAGAGAGAAACAGAGCCGAGCGGTGGGATAAGAGAAAGACACAGGATTGATGACACTGTGTGAACTCCCGGATCCGGCTAAGTCTACAGCAAGTTTTGGCCTTGGCTTTTCAAGCTGTATGAGCTGATACATTACCTTTTATTCACTGCCAGCTTGATTTAGTCTCTTGGTTTGTGTGTTTTTTGTGGGGGAGGAGAAGGGCCATGTATAGGTAAGAGATTCTCCGTCAAAACAAATGTGGATGGATCTTATTTTAGGCCCCTACTCCACTGGGCCCCTTCTACAGGGCCTTCCAAGCTAACAAATTCTCTCCCACGAACCCTACTTTTAAGATCATAAAAAAAGGTCCTCCAAAAAAATAAAACAAGATGAAACCAGGGAGGGAGACAAACCATAAGAGACTCTTAAATCATAGAAAACAAACTGAGGGTTGCTGGGGAGGAAGAAGGTGGAAGGATGGGGTAACTGGGTGATGGCCGTTAAGGAGGGCAGCTGATATAATGAGCACCAGATATTAGAGAAGACTGATGAATCACAGGCCTGTGCCTCTGAAACCAGTAATACATCATATGTTAATTAATTGAATTTAAATGTTCAAAAAAGAGTCCTCCAAAGTCATCCAAAGGGCTCAAATCTTCCTTCTCTTTTTATAGATCATAGAAAAAATCTGGGGCTCCTGGGTGGCTCAGTGGGTTAGGCTTCTGCCTTTGGCTCAGGTCATGATCTCAGGGTATTGGGATCGAGCCCCGCATCGGGCTCTCTGCTCGGCAGGGAGCCTGTTTCCCTTCCTCTCTTTCTCTGCCTGCCTCTCTGCCTACTTGTGATCTCTGTCTGTCAAATAAATAAAATCTTAAAAAAAAAAAAATCTTACTGACTCTTTCTGAAAGGCGAGGGCTCTTCAATGTGTGGACAGCAGACAATTCAAGAAAGCCTAATGAATCCTTCCAGGCAATTGTGAGTCACATTTGCGTGGAAGAGCAGAAACCCAAGGAGTGATCCTCCTGGGTCTGTGAGGAACTCACCTTTCAGCTGCAGGTAGCCCTGAGCCAGATTGACGTGTGCCTCTGCCAGTTTCCAATGGGAGTCGCCATAGCAAATTCTCGTCAGTGCGACACAGCGCACCAGCTCGCGGACTGCCTGTTTATACTGCAATGGAGAGAAAATGGGTTTTACCCGTCAGACAACTGAAAACACGGAGTCAACCTGCACTTCAATCCTGTGTGTATTTCCCGAGTGCCTCCTGAGTGCTGGACATGGTTGTAAGCACTTGGGGTCCATCAGAGAACAAAACAGGCAAAGATGTCTTTGGGGAGGGGGGGCTGTTCATCAGGTGGGGTAAAAGAGACCATAAATGGCAGAAAGAAGTAGAAGTTACGGTATATTTCAATTTCTAAAACATTTAAGCTTGTAGTACATTATGAAAAATACGATAAATCAAGAAGACATGGAAAAACCAGGGCAGACTTATCACCATTCCCTAGGGTTTCTAGCTCCCCAGCTGTGAACAGCAGCTACAGCTCAGGCACCAGTGGGCAAGTTGGTAGTGGGTTTTCAAATAACGCTCACTGGTTCTCAACCAAATACCTTTCTTAGCAGCCTAGGACAACAGCATGGCAATGAGGTTGGCAGGACTGACGAACAGATTTCATTAAAGGAGTGAGAAGTCCATTTATACTCGGTGTCGGGACAAAGTACGGGGAGCTAGCCTCTCCGGGTCCAGGTCAGCTCAGATCAGCAATACACTCCCAGCAAGGCTGGTAGTTTTAAAAGATCACTCCAGAGTTCTCTGACTCTTTCCATCCAGTGGCGGAGGTCTATGTCTCCTTCCCTTTGAATCTGGGCTTTACGATGGGCTGATGGAATATGGAGGAAATGATGTGGTGCCAGGTTTGGGGGCCCAGGTCTTAAGGAACTAGAGGCTTCCATTTTCTGTTTCTATTTGGAACTTGTTATGGGCTGAATTATGCGCTGCCCCCAAATGTTGGAGCCCCAAGTACATCAAAATGTGATGGTATGTGAAGAGAAGGTCTTTAAAGATGTAAGGTGAAATGAGGCCGTTAAGGTAGAGCCCTAATCCAATATGACTGATATCCTTCTAAGAAGAGGAAGAGACACCAGGGTGGGGCACACACAAAGAAAGAAGTGGGGACAGCGAGAAGACACCCTCTGCAAGCTAAGCCTCCAAATGACATCAACTTTGCCAACACTTTGATTTTGGACTTGCAGCCTCTGGAACTCTGAGGAAATAAACTTCTGTTGGTGAAGCCAACCAGTCTGAGGTATTTGGTTATGGCATAATAACCTAACCACTATGCCACGAGGAAGCCTAAGTGGTCCCACGGAGAGATGCAGGTAGAAAGGCACCAACAGCGGATGCCAATTAGCCAACCAGAGGAGTGAGCCATCTTGGCAATGGGTTCTCTGCAGGTAGAGCCCAACTAATGCTGAGAAGTTAAGGGAATGGCTTCCATGGAGAGACAGCAAATGAGTAGTGTATGAAAAAGAAAGAAATGATGAAAACTGTGGGGAGTCTAGACAGATAGTCTACCAGAAAGAGAGAGGACCTGATCTGATAATGAGTCTATCCCAACTGCAGATTGCTAAGAAGGGGGCTACATAGATTGAAAGTTAACCCCCGCCCCCTGCTCCCATCATAGCCTTGGTCCTCATTACCTGCAACTGGGACAGGGGTACAAAAGAGCAGCCTGTCTTCCCTCCCCCTTCTTATGTGCTAAAATGCAAAGTTCAAATGTCCCTTTGGCTTTCTGATCTTTATTCTGCCAGTGCCAGTGGCTGCACCCAACAGGCATGGGGAGGAGGTAGAGAGGAGAGAAGTACAAGTAGGCAGGCAGTTTTATAACTGGGATGAGCCTTGGAACCTCATCTGATGCCCTTAATTTAAAGAAGAAATGTCAATGCAGAGAGGTGAGAGGATGTACCACCAAACGGTAGAGTCAGAACTCACCAGCAAGCTCCCTGAACCCAAGTCCAGAGCTCTTTCCACAACACTGTTCTTGGGATACCTACAATTTCTTAAACTTCTTAACATTAAAATATGCAGCTCTGATGATCAGTAGGTCTGGTCACATATATATTTAAAAATGGGTATTTAATACCCAGATGTTGGTGTCTAAGCAAGATTCTTTGCTAAGAGGAGCCAGGAGTCCCTGAATCCACAGTTGGAGCAAGTAAAGTGCCAGATGAATCTGAAAAATTAGGAAAGATTAATGAGGATGTACCAAGGACATAGAGGGAGCCAACATGAAGGGGCCAATACTGGCAAATACGGGACAATTTAAGTTTTGGAGACGATAATGAATTGCAACATTTTCGAAGCACAATTTCCTGAGCCCATAAATGATATAAATGAGGGAATAACAAAGTGCAAAGGAGGAAAACCTCTTCCTTACAATAACGCCAACACATAAATGCAGAAAGAATGCTTAAGTCAGGGAATCACCATTTGACAAACATCATAGTAATAACTGGTTCAGGCAAGACTCATTAATGGAAGCTAAAACTAGGGGGTGAAGTTTTAATGAGGAATGGGATAGATACAGGGTCTTGATGAATCTTCCCACAAGACACTGACTCATTACAAAGGGAAGAATAGTAATTCCATAGAGAAGCCACTTGCCAGACAGCAGCTAGCCAAGTGATCAAAGTTAGTGTCAGAGTAAGGAGACAAGAGGACACTGTATGCCTCCCACGATGATGCACTAAGGCCCCTAGATCGTGTCTGTGGGACTCTGGCCACAAATGAATAACCTGCATGTATTTATGAGGAAACACATGACCAAAGCAATTTGAGAGATATTGTATAAAAGAATTGGAGTGCACTTGTTAGGGACTGAATATTTGTGTCCCCGCTCACCCCGCCCCCCGCCAAATTCACGTTCAACATATGCCCCCAAGGTGGCATTCGGAAATAGGGCCTCTAAGGAAGTAATTAAGGTTAAATGAGGTCATAAATGTGGTGCCATGATCCAACAGGATTAATGTCCTTAAATGACAGACACCTTTCTCTTCCCCTTTATCCCCCCCCCCCCCCCCGCCCTGCAGAGAGGCCACGTGAGCACACGGCAAGAAGGCAGCCATCTACAACCCAAGGGCAAAGCTCCCACCAGACACCAACCCTGCCGGCACCCTGATCTTGAACTTCTAGTCTCCCAAACTGTGAGAAATAAATGTCTGTTAAGTCGCCCAGTCTAGCCAGAGCAGACAAATGCAGTACTTTTTCCAAAAATATCAAGATCATTAAAGACAAAGACAGGCTAAAGAACCATTTTAGTAGATCAGCGAAGGCTAAAAAGATAACTGTATCCCACATGAATTTATGGAGCTGAGCATGGATCTGTCTGATTTATTTTTTTCCTGCCAAAGACATGACTGAGATACTTAGAGAAATATGGATAAGGTTTGTAGATTACATGAAAATATCATACCAATATTAGTTTCCTAACTCTAATCGTTGGACGGTGGTTAGCTGGAGAGTATCCTCTAACGTATTCAGGGGGTAAAAGACAGTAATATCTGTAATTTACTCTCAGACAGTCAGAAAAATAATGACATGCACACAGAGAAATAAAGCAAATGTTAACTGGTGAATCTTGGGGACTTTCCTGTAAATCTGAAAATATTTTTAAAAAGTAGAAAAAAATGGATTTTTTTTTTTTTAAAGATTTTATTTATTTGACAGAGAGAGTGAGAGAGGGAACACAAGCAGAGGGAGTGGGAGAGGGAGAAGCAGGCTTTGCAATGAGCAGGGAGCCCGATGCGGGGCTCGATCCCACAACCCTGAGATCATGACCCGAGCCGAAGGCAGGCGGTTAACCACTGAGCCACCCAGGCACCCAAAATGGATATTTTTAAAAGCCAATTACATCATGATGATACTTTCCTGCAAACACTTTTAAGGCTTCCCAGGACACCCGGCCAGAGACCTACAAGGACCTGCAAGAGACTGTTTCGCATCAGACCACAGTCCCCTCTTTCACTGCAAACACGTCACACTCATGCCCACCTCAGAGACTTTACATGTGCTGTTCCCTCTCCCTGGAACTCTTTTCCCTTAACTCCTCCATGCTGGCTCCTTCCCTTCCTAAGGTCTCAGCTCATATGTTCCCTCCTCACAGACAGGCCCCTCCTCTTTCCTTAATGTCACAACTTCTGTTCGTGTATTTACAGTGCTGACTGCAACTGCTTAATTAAGGCTTCCTTTTTTTTTTTTTTTTTTTAAGATTTTATTTATTTGACAGAGATCACAAGTAGGCAGAGAAGCAGGCCGGGGTGGGGGGAGCAGGGTCCCCGCTGAGCAGAGAGCCGGATGCGGGGCTCGATCCCACAACTCTGGGATCATGACCTAAGCCAAAGACAGAGGCTTTAACCCACTGAGCCACCCAGGCGCCCTTAATTAAGGCTTCTTAATTAAGTCTTAAGAATTAAGGCTTAATTCTCTCACAGATCTGGGCGGGGGGGGGGGGGGGCGCGGAGAAAGGCTGCCAGCCTACTGTGTACTTCACACAGAGGCTGGCACATAGTGGATACTGAACAAATATGGATTGGATAATGATGAAGTCCATGTTCAAAACCAAATTCACGTCTCCTCTCCATAATCCTGCTCTTCATCCTGTAGTCATCACAATTAGGCAAACGCACTGGCAAGCCTCCCACCACCATGCCGTCTCAGAGCTAGGTCATGAACTGGATACACCCCCCTCCCCCAATGATTGGTTCTTGCCTCGACAACCCCTTCATCGCCTCCGTGATTCCCATTTCCAAATTCCTGTCATATCTCAGCATTGCAGCTGCCTCTGTTGTCGTTCAGATTCTTACGATTCCTTGCTGGGGCTGTTATTTTTTTAAAGATTTAGAGTGGGGAGGGGCAGTGGGAGAGAGAGATTCTCCAGCCCACTTCTCGCTGCGCAAGGAGCCAGAAGCTCGGGGCTCCATCCCAGGACCTGGAGCCAAAATCAAGAGCCACACGCTCAACCCCACACAGGACCTGCCACGTAAGTGGTGGTAGAGGAACGCATATTGAATGAGCGAGTGAATGAGCAAAACTCTGAGGACAGAATGGGAACGATGTATGTGGAAAACATGATCAAGAGTGTAAGAATTGTTAAGCGCTGTAGAAGTTCCACCTTTGTGTTCTGTTGCAGTGCCTAGACCCGGCACTAGGGGGAGCTCAGGAACTATGTACTCAGCGGTGGAAAAAGACTCCAGGAGGTCAAACCTACAACCAGTTGGTCTAGTATACACTCGCTGAAGGTCAGGGTAAACCTGTTCGTTCATTTGTCATTCATTCAGCAAGTATCATGCTGACTGTGCCAAGCGCTGTGCCTGGAGCCTGGAGGGCTACACCCGCTCGTTACTCCATATATTCTCTTATACCAAACTCCTGAGGCTAGAAATGTAACCTAAACTCTCATCAGTTACTGGAGTGCATGCATAGAAAAGGAAGGGTCCTTACTTCGTGACTGCTAGAATAGGACTTCGCTTTCTCTTCACAATGGTGGAGTTTCTCTCGAGGAGGTTGGAATAGCGCTGTCTGAGGCAGTTTGTTTTGGATCTTCTTTCTAGGCGTTATGCTGACAGCAGCAACAATTTCATCTAGGTGATTGGATATGGGGGTTTCCTTTGATTCTTGCATATTTTTATATACATTGTCCTCTAAATAAGAAAATAAGGGTGTTAAATGGTAATTTCCATACTTACTTAGACAAATATACATTTTTCGAAACTGATGCTACATCTAGGAAAATTCCAACACTCTACCCACGAGTTCTTTGAAATTAGTAGCACTCCATCCAAAAGGATCCTGATAAGTAGTACTAACTTCTTTGTAAAACTATCAGGCTGATTTCCAATTTTAACTAAACCAAACATTCCTTGTTCATTAAAATATACATATTTATAAATGTATTTTATATATGTATATACAGGAGAAATCAAGCAAGCCCAAACAACTCTCAAAGAACCCAGATTATACCCCCTGAACCCCAATTGACTTTGAAGCAGTGAAACAATGACTTTAATAAGGAATAACTTTTAATAATAAGTTATTATTATTTAGTAACTTTTATTTCTAGTCAAGATGGGGCAATAGGGACAAGATTTATTCTCTTGACTGAAATAGCCAACCAACCAACACACACACACACACACACACACACACAGACAAAGACGTTATGGAACAATGGTTTTCAAGAGATAAGATATCAGATGTGATCACGGAAAAAATAAACAAAGTGAGACCCATGATTACCCCAGCTTATTGCTTTGAGAAAGTTTCTAGGACATACAAGGGGCAGAAACACAGAAGTAACCACGTAGACTCTCTGAGTTGAGAAACTAGAGCTGAGGACCTGGGGAGAATAGGCAGTTAGAGTTCATAGGATAGATTACTGGAGAGGCTAGAGATGCACAGAGAGAGGATCCTGTGATTAGCAGAGGGATCCTTACAACATGGAGAGAAAATACTGATCGGCATGTGTATAAGAAAAATGTTTGAGTCTGGGAAAAGAATCCTTCTAATAATATTGAAGGGAACAGTGTCTGGCATTCACACAGGGCTGGCAATGCCTGTTCCCACCAAACAGACTGGAAAACTCATAATTCATAATGCATTGGGTAAAGCACTCAGAAAGGTTTTGTTTCCGTAGTGTGAAATTACTACCCCTAGACTGAACACTGCTTAGACTCACCTAACAAAGCTTAACAATAAGACCTAGAAGGATCAGCATATTTCTAAGTAACTAAACTGCCCCAGAAGACAAAAGTCAAGGATGTATAGGACATACAAATAGCTAGCATGCAACAAGGTAAAATTCACAAAATTTGACATCTAATCAAAGATTACTAGGCATGCAAAGGGACAGGCAAACCTGGGCCATAATGAGAATAATAATGAATCACTCAAAACCCAGAATTGACACAGATGTTAAATTAGTAGAAAAGAGTATTAAAGTAGTTATTATAATTGTATTCCATATGTTTAAACAGTTAAGTAGAGACACAGTAAATATTTTAAAAGGCTGAAATTCAACTTCTAGATATGAAAATTACATGTGAGATAAAAAAATAGACTAGATGGGATTAATGACAGATTAGATATTACAGAAGAAAAGATGACTGAACTTGTAGATTTAGCAATAAAAACAATCTAAAAAATCATAAGCTATGAAACAACTGCAAATTGCCTAATATATATAATTTGAGTCTCTATAGGAAAGCAGACTGTAGCAGGGACAGAAAAAATATTTGAAGAAATAACAGCCCCAAATTTTCCAGACTTTAAGAAAATAAAAAATCTGGAGATCCAAGAAGTTCAATGAGCATTACACACAAGAAACAGAGAAAACTGCATAACCAAATTCCTTAAAACCAAGGTAGAGAGAAAAATCTTAAACATAGGAGGAAAACATATTAGTATGAAAAAATAAATATATAGATGACAGCAGATTTCTTGGGGGAAAAAAAGCACATGAGAAGGGAGCAAAACAACATACTTACAGTATGGAAAGAAAAAAAGTTGTCAAGCTAAAATTCTGCACCAGTGAAAAGATATATTTCAAAGCCAAAAACTGAAAGAATTAATAATCAGCAGATTTGCACTCCAATGTTCTCCAAGAATTATTACAGGAAGTCTTTCAGAAGGAAGGAACATGGTAGCAAATGGAAATCTAGACCTACACAAAGGAATGAAGACAATGGGAATGATACTTACATGGGCAAATATGTAAGACTGTTTTCATATTACTTAAATCTCTTTAAAAGATAATCAACTTTTTTTTTAACAAAAAATAATGTACTGTGGGACTTGTAACATATGTATAAGTGAAATGTATAACAGTAGCATAAAGGCGAGGAAGGAAGGAATGGAATTGTCAAATTCTTACACTGTATGTGGAGTGGTATAATATTAATTGAAGGTAGGCCTAGTCAAAGATGTATAGTATAAACCCCAAGTAACCATTAAAATAACCAAATAAAGAATTTTAGGTAATAAGCCAGCAAAGGAGATAAAAAGACTTATAAAAACAACCCAGTAGAAACTAGAAAAAAGTAGGGAAAGAGAAAAAAGAACATATGGGACAAACAGAAAATAAATAGCAAGATGACAGACTTAACTCTAACTATATCAGCAATCACATTAAATGTAAATGGTCTAAACACCCCACTTAGGAGATAGACATCGAGAGACTGGATAAAAATGTAAAACCCAACTGTATGTTGCCTATAAGAAATTCATTTCAAATAGAGAAAGACAATTAGATTAAAGGTTAAGTGATGGAAAATTAGATACTAAAATTAGTCAAAAACAAAGTTGGATTGTCTCTATTAATACCAAAGTAAATTGTACAGCCAAGAATATTATCAGAAAAAAAGGTCATTTTATAGTTATAAGAGGTCAATCAGTCATGAAGACATAATCATTCTAAGCGTTTATACACTTAATAACAGTTTTGAAATAGGACACCCCAAACTGAAGGAATTGCAAGGAGAAATAGACAAATCCTCAATTACAGTCTGAGATTTAAATACCTTGCTTTTAATAATTGGCACACCAAATAGGCAGAAAATCAGTTAAGGAGACATAAGACATGAACTACATCATCAACCAACTTGATTTGACATTTACTAGAACACTCTACTCAAGGAGAGTAGAATAACACTCTTTTCAAGTGCACATAGACATTAATATGACAGGTTCTATTCTGGGTCATAAAACAAGTTTCAGTAAATTTATGAGGATTTAAGACATACAAAATATATTGTATGACTACAATGGGATTAAATTTTAAGTCAATAACAGAAAGATACCTGGAAAATGCTCAAGTATTTGGAAACTAAACAATACGCTTCTTAAAAAAAAAAAATCCAACAATGGTTTAAAGAAGAAATCAAAAAAGAAATTTGAAAGTAGTTTTAACTGAATGAATACAAACACAACACATAAGAATTTGGGAATGCCACTAAAGCAGTCCTTATGGAGGATTTTTGACATTAAAGGCATATATAAGAAAAGTAGAAAGTTCTCAAGTTCATGACCTTAGCTTTTACCTTTGGCAACTAGAAAAAAAGAGCAAAGTAAGTTCAAGGTAAACAGAAGAAAAGCATAAAGTAAATAATAAGACCTGCCTCACAAATCCATAAAATAAACATAGAAAAAACAAGAGAGAAAAAGCAATGAAACCAAAATTTGGTTCTTTGAGACCAATCACATCGATTAAATGTCTACCCGGACTAATCAGAAAAGAAGGAGAGAAGACACAAATCACCAATATCAGGAATGAGAGCGATGTCATCACTATAGATTCTATAATTATTGTATGTTTAATACAGAAGTGTTATGAAAATTTTATGCTAATACATCTGACAACTTAGATGAATGGACAAATTCTTTTAAAGACACAAAATACTAAAGCTCACTCAAGAAGAAACAGATACCTGAATAGCACTATATTTATTAAAGAAACCGAATTTGTATTTTTAAAAACTTCCCTCCAAAAAAAGAAAAAGAAAAAAGAAAAACAACTCCAGGCCTAAAGGGCTTCACTAGTGAATTCTACCAGATATTTAAGGAAGACAATTTCATACAATCCAGAAAATTGAAAAAGAAAATATTTCCTAACTCATTCTATGAGACCCTGATTCCAAAACAAGAAGAAATAACAAAAGAAAATTGCAGATCAATATTCCTCAGGAATATAGATGCAAAAATTAAAAGAAAATCTTAGCAAATTAAACCTAGTAATATGTAAAAGAGAAAATTCAACATGACCAAGTACAGTTTATCTCAGGAATGCAAAATTGGTTTAACACTCACAAAGCAGTCAATGTAATTCATGATATCAGTAACCTACAAAAGAAAAACTGCATGATCATTTTGATGAACACCCCAAAAGAACTTGACAAACATCTATTATCCATTTCTAATAAAAAAAAAAAAATCTTAGCAAAGTAGGAATAAAATTGTGCTGTCTCAACCTGATAAAGGGCATCTATCTAAGAAAAAGCTAGTTTTTGGTGAAGACAGAATGCTTTCTCCCTAAGATCAGAAACAAAACAAGGAAGCTCACTCTCAATATTTCTATTTAACATGGTACTAAAGGTGCCTGCTAGTGCAATCAATCAAGAAAAACAAATAAAAGGGAACCAAACTGGAAAGAAGAGGTAAAACTGTCTTTACCCACAGACAGTATATCTCTCTTATTATCTATGTAGAAAATCTGATGGATATGCAGGAAAAAATCTCCTAGAATAAATACGTTTAACAAGGTTGAAGGATACAAAAACACTATATCAAAATTGCAGTTACATATTTTAGCAGTAGATAATCAAATAAAATAAGATGCTGTGAACAATAGCGTCAAAAATATGATGAGTGCTGTGAATTGTGTAAGACTGATGAATCACAGACCTGTATCCCTGCAACAAATAATATGTTATATGTTAATTTAGAAAAATGAAATAGAAATAAATCTTCCAAAAAGTGAATGGGACTTGTATAATTAAAACTACAAAATATAGCTGAAAGATATTAAAGGAGACTTAAACATATACCATGTAACATGGGCTGGAAAACTCAATATTGTTAAGATGTCAATTCTCCCCAAATTGATAGATAGACTTAAAGCCATTCAGATCGAAGTCCCTGAATGGTTTGG